AAAACAAAAGACTGTTAATATATTTTGAAAGTTTATGAAATAGTAAGTAAGCATTAAACTGTACTAAATTATGTTAAAATAATAAAGATTACCTAATTATTTGATTAATTAAATTGTAATTTATGCAATTCAAACAAATTTTCATTTGCCCCAGGCTTATAACATTATCAACTATACTTTAATTTTCATTTACCCTATACACAATATACTATTTGGGGCAATTGAAAATTTGTTGGTATCTAATATATGAAATAATATAATGATAGCTGTAACAGAACAATTTAATTTGCCCATTATGTGTGTTCAGTATAACACTTGCAGTTAGAAATAGTCATTTTCATTTACCCCAGAAGTATGGGGCAAATGTAAATTTTTTATGCAATTTTATATTATTTTTTTCTCTTAAAATAATCAACTATTTTAACGTTTGATTGAAATGTTAGACACATATTGTATATAGTTAAATAGTTTTTATCTAAACCAAAATTAAAAAAAGTAATTACTATATGAATCTAATAAAAGTTGTAAAACATGTAAATTTCATTTCCATTTACTCCACTTGACCCTACCATCTAGAACAAAGAAATTGGGTATATTTCTATTTTTTTTTATTACACGAATATCGCGATGTATGTGTTGCATGCTACTTAGTTCTAAATAAATAACATTTTATAACAAAATGTTTAGAATTCAATTATGATGTTGAAATTATTTTAACGCCTCCACTCTTTTATATTCCATCTAGTTTGTATTGTGATTTGTAAAATATACATTTTATTTTAAGATATGTTTTTGCATTAATCTGCTTTTGTTTTTTATTCTTGCGTGAATCGTCATTCAGTAAGTCACGAAATGAAATTGATACCGAAAAATACAATAGCCACACCCAATAATAATAATTAGACATCTAAAGTTAAGTAACACTCGACTCTGATTAATAGATAATAAGTATATTGGAATTATTTTGATATTTGAAGTAATTGTTTTCATAACTTAAAAATATTCACTCGTTATTTTTGTAACAACTAAAGTACTTACCCGCAAAACAAAGTATATGAAATTTTATTATTTTTACTTTATATCGTGTTTAATCATGNCACTCGACTCTGATTAATAGATAATAAGTATATTGGAATTATTTTGATATTTGAAGTAATTGTTTTCATAACTTAAAAATATTTACTCGTTATTTTTGTAACAACTAAAGTACTTACCCGCAAAACAAAGCATATGAAATTTTATTATTTTTACTTTATATCGTGTTTAATCATGTTTTTTACAGTAGTCAGGTGCGGAGAATAATTTGGTCCGTTATTTTACACTATCATTCACAAATACCATAATACTATTCACTTTTTCATCAATTTTCAGGTGTTTCTTTTTTTTTCCAAATAAGTTCATTTAGATGTAATTATGTTTTTGATTTTGTTCCGCAATATAGATTTTTTGAAACTTCATTTTTATAAGTTTTATTATCAATGTTTTCTATTACGTGGTTTTTATTTTGTTTTTAAAGTGAAAGATTACATTTTAATAAAGCGTAACGTGCCATATTGACACATATTGACTTATCGTGTAAATGGGTGTAACGGGCTTGGAGTATTGTTAACCTAGTATTATAAATGTTATATTGAAAATTATACAATTGGATCTTGTTAAAATAAATGTAGTCGTATAGTTCAGACAATGAATCACCCCTCCGTGTTTTTCATTGAATACAACAAAGTAATTGTGTTTTGTAAAATTAAATATATATATATTTATTAATGAATATCTGTTTATAGATATAATTGACATACTATGTTTAGATTACTTCGGTCACGAAAAGTTTTCGGACGAGAGTATAGTATTATTGTAATGTAATAATAAAGTATTATAAAACGTAAAAGTATAATAAAGTGTAATCTATCATTTATTCAACCCATAAAATTGAATTATTCGGTTCGATAATTATTTCACGGAATGTNTGTATATTTATTTTATAAATCTTGCCCTTTACTACTAGCCTACAGGGGGGATTCAAAATAAAATTTTTTTTACAAAAATTTAACTTTTGAAAGTGTTCGGTAAATACTGATACTTTTATATATAAATATCTTTAATTAAAGCTTGTCTAATGTACTTTAATATGAAAAAAAAAATTCGATAATAATTTCACGGAATGTGATATAATAATAATTATTTATTCAAAAGCAAACATACTATTCCTATATTTATGAAATATAGAAATAAAGTCAAAGTTGTCATATCATATAATTAGTATAAAAAATACATCGAAATATTTGAATTTTTGTTTATTTTATTGAAATGAATCAGTATATTCATAGTTTGGCATAGTAGACACTTCAGTTGCCGTCGAGTTCTAAAGTTTACTTGGCCTGTCGCTGATAAATGTCTGATAGTTTACCACATGTCAATGTCAACGGCGGCAAACACTATGACCTTCAACGACAGATGACGAGTACTTAATATTTTCTAGGATTTACCAATTCAATTTTCAGGATTGAATGGTGTTGACCAATTTAACGGTTTAATAAAAAACTATGATATTATCTTTCAATATTGATTGTTGACTAATGATGACAAAAGCATCCTTGCGAGATTATTCTTTTTCTAAAAGGAGATGACTTTAATCTTGGGACCTCTTATAAAGTCTGTGACTTTAGGAGGTCTGAAGTCAACATTTTCTATAGCTTAATTATATCATTAAAATAATTATTTAACAATAATGGGTAAACATTTCTGGGTGACAGAATATGGTAGGATGTGTATAACTTGCAGTGAATATATGACTCTAAGAATCCTAAAGTTAATATATTTTATTATTAAAGTAACGATTGACTCCAAATTCACAGTGGCAAAAAGCACCATGTCTCCATTGCAAAATGCAACAGAATACCACTGCACAAAATCCTATTCCTAATAAAACAACCATGATAAGGCTTAGCCTTTAGAAGAAGATTCATTTAAGTAATGCATTTTAAGAGAATAAACAAAAAAAGATGATTTGTTCGAAATATTATCTCAGTTTCCTATTTTGATTAAATGCTCAATATGTATAATAATTAGGGCTGGGCTGATATTAAACAGGTTATTAAATATTTTAATATAAAATTTAAAAAATACGTAAATTCTTGACTCAATAATGAAACAAAACCTTCAGAATACATCATAAGATTATGTTTTTAGACTTGCAGCCCACTATACGCGTTCATAACTCCAAACATTTTACAAAATTTTATTCTGATTGGTAATATTTCAAATTAAAGAAATGCTTAATAATTAATTTGAAAATGATGGCATAAAAACACAAGTAAAAAAAAATATCTGTTTTTACATTTAGAAAATATTTAACGACAAAAAAATTAATTAAAATAAGTCAATTGAAATTAAAAATTATAGTATACCATTTTGTATCAATATAACAGTTTTATAAAATAAAAAAAGTATAGACAATTTAGAATATTTACAGATACATTCATGTCTGATGTAATGTTGTGAATCGTTCAATCTCCGTCTTTGCGCTGATGTTCAGCTGTTCTGTTTGTTGTTAGTTCACGGATGGATGGCCTTATGAGAACTTTACAGAGGCACATGTCTTGCCCTTTTACCGGTTTCCTCAGCTATAATAAGATTGCCTCAGGTTATCTGGTATAAAAATTCTGCCAAACCATTGTAAGATAGAGCCGACCTCAAATAGTTGGGGTAGAGGCTAAGGAAATATTAACAGATACATTCATGTCTTCATTGAATAATAAAAAGTATATTTTTGACTCAGATCAAAATTTTTTGCTTAATTTAAATTTATTCATAGTTAACAACAAATTATTATCTAAAAAGTTCTGTGCCAAGCCCTTTAATTTTTACATTTATATATAAATGTATATACATTTGCCATAAAAGTAATAACTACTTTAAAATTTTTTATAAATTGTCTGAAAAAATTACAATACTAAATTATTCAAAATCAATTTCATACTACGTTGAATTGCTTTGAAAGATATTTATTCATAAATTATACTTATAAAGTATACTTATAACTACTAATTAGGAATAATGATTGAAATAGGAGTTAATTTTGCTTTAAGAATAATCAACCAATTTCTTAAAATAAAATTAGAATTCCACTATACAAATTGTGAGTATTTAAAACTTTTGGTTATTGACTTTGATTCTCTCGGACTGAGTAATAAATTTTGTTTAATAAATAAAATAATTAGTCGATTTGACATAATATTTCAAAATGTATTTTTAGAGGTATTCAAAAAAGTATTCTAGCCAATTGTGAATACTTTTTTAATGCTTTTATTGTATGAATCAGTATAAACTGGTATCTCACAATTTAAAGTTATCAGTAAAAAACAATGTATGATAATATTAAATTATTTGAAAATTTGATAATAAATCCACCCAGATTATTGGATTTTAAAACAATTTTTCATAATATTGGATTTAAAGAAAACCTATAATGATAAATTTGGTATTGCATATATCGACCGATATTTAATAACGTGTTTCATATCTGGCCAAACATCAAATAAGAGCCAAAGTTATCGTTACTACTAACAATATAACGTTGGCTCTTATTTTAAATTATTGATCGTTTCAATGAATTTGTAAAAAAAAATTCAACGTATATCCTTCTGACAATAGTAGGTCACAGAACACGAATTTCTGGTTATTTGCTTTTTTTTTTATTCCTATTACTTGCATTCGTTACTATCAAAGTAATGAACGGTCATAATACTGTTAAAAAACGCAAACTTTCGCGTTGCATTAAACATTTAGACGTTTTTTTGTTACTATACTTGTGTTACGTATATTGTGTATTATAAGGGTAATGATTTTTATATGTTTAATGTATAAGATGTCTGTAATGTATGAGGAGACCGGCACGTGTAATGGCCAAGTACAATACGATTGACATTCAATTATTATTTAGATTGGACGTGGTGACGAGTGCGCCACGCCTGACGAAGCACATGTTATAAAACCTTTAGTATTTCATTGGGACTCGTTACTAACGGGCGTCTGGAACGTTGCGTTAAAAAAGTTCACGCTTAATTTTTAATTATTTTCACTCGTTATTTTTTTCCCGTAGAAGTGTTTTGAGATTGTAAAATTGTACTTAAAATGTTAAGGTATCGTTGAAAGTTCGGTATTATGTTGTAACAAACACTAAAAGTAACTGTTTTAGTTAATTTGTCAATGACATCATATTTACTTGCCGTGTTATAATTTTGTAAATGCATCGGATGCTGTGCAGTCAATGGATTCGAATATTTTTCCACTGCCTCCTCTAGATCATTGTTATAGACGATAAAATAATAACAAACATTTTTGGTAGTATATCACGGCCATAAATATGCTAGGTTTTACGAAACAAGTTAGACAATTTATTTTAACTCACAGTTATGTTTAATTTAACTACTCAGTAATGATTTTTTATAATTAATAATGCATCTTAGAATGCATCCAGCCTGTTGCGATAATCTGTAAACTGTTTTAGTGTCACTTACACCAATTAGTTTTTTTAAGTGTGTCATATAGTATACCGTGAGTACTGATAATTATTGTCTATGAAATCGATTCGAAAAACGCCGACACCAAGTGACACTGAGTACATAAATATAATTAACGACCTTATTTCGAATGCACGTTTTGTTAATTATTTCGGGTAATAAAATATTTCTTTTCTACTTTTAAAGTCGAAAGTCAATTAAGTTGATCGTAGTTATTTGAAAGATTAGCAATAATGATTCAATTAGAGACTATAGATCAATTAAATGCTTACAGTTGGGTGTGATATTGTTTGCTAGTTATAACAAATTTAATGTATTGATCAATCCATTATACTTAATGTATGTGTTTTGTGGAATCACAACAACTGAGTTGTTAGTAGTTGATGAGTTCCATTGATTTTACCGTGTTCACTATTATTAGCGTTTGTGTATAACTTTGGCATGTATAGAAAGGTATTAAATAAATTAAATTTGTAAATTTTTGATAATATCAGATCAAGAATTAACAACACATTTAGTCTTTATCTTCTACTCATTACGTGCAAACTATTATTCTAGTGCTTATTAAAAATGTGAATTAAGTTCCTCGTGTTTAGTCAAGTAATGAATTAAGATATTTAATTATATTTACAGATAACATTAATGTTATATTTCGGTTTTATAATTTTGTCGGGTCATACTATTAGTAATTAATGTTAAATTATCATAAATGTTTGTTAGTTATTTTAATAACAGTCTTTACTGAGAAATAAGCTTAAAGTCGAAATGCTTTAGGGTTCATCTTACATTGAGTATGTCAGTAGGTAACTGTTTTATTGTATTTACTATATAAAAAAATATTTAAACGTTTCCCGTGATTCGTTTGTTTTCGGTCGTAGGCGACAACATCCGTGCTACTTAAGTTGGTCATGATTTATTCTCTGTTGTTATTTTCACGCTTTTAGTTTTTTATTAATCGGAGTATGTGACTTATGGTTTATTAAATTTCATGCACGTTATTTGGTTAATTCAATGGTTATGTAATATTCATATAAATTATGATCTCTTTTTAATGAAAAAGATCTGTTTCTTGTTCTGTTGATTATTCTAATTAATTTTGAATGCCAGTATTACTAATGATTCAATACGCAAAATTTGAGGTAATCACTTATGTTATCAGTTAATTAACTATTATTATATTATCGTCGAACAATATAATATTTTCGAATGAATGTGAATAGATTTTTGACTATTAAGCATTGAAAAATGTCCTTTTTTTGTTTTTATTAAATCGGTGAAAGTATATTATGTTGTAATTATTGGGTGGGAGAAAATTATGATACAATGTATTCTATTTGTTGGACGTACTAATCGAGTATGCATTGACTATCGTCGTTTTGTTTGTATTTCAACCTAACAGATTTTGTGTTTTTAAAAATCCATTGAGTTGTATAATACTAACATGATAACTGCTGTATAATTATTTATTGTTTTTCTAGGACAAGTTATTGTATGAACATTTTCATTTTAAAAGTTGTTTGAAATCAGTAATAAACTTTTATTGAACTCTCCTTTGTTTTATTTTTTACTCGTTTTATGTATATTTTACGACATTCGTTGTAAGAATTTTTTATGATGATTTTTCCTGGTAAAATCTAAAATTGATCCAGTTCATCCTTCGAAACTGATTTGGACCACACCCGACACTTAGACGCCATTACACGGTCAATAACTGCGGCCTTTAATTTAAACTCTCAGTCTACATAATATCTTAGCCCTCTGTTAGCTTTATTTAACATGTAGTGCTCGATGTCACATCGAATTTTTACTTTTATTGAGCAATTTCCTGAGTAATATTGACGTACGTGGCGACATATCCTCCACATTTTCCCTTCATTGATTTAATACACTACCAAAATATTGAAATTACGCCTTATCATTTTTAACTCTTGTCAGTTACCGTTTGAAATAGTTGATTTGTTAAATAAATAAATAAATCAATGCTTGTACGTGTTTGATTTTGTATTTTTAATCATTTTCTTCATTATATGTATCTGATTTTGTTGTGATTTACAAGTATCATTTTATCATAGTAAATAAATAGTTTAACTGGTGACACGTTGCAGCACAATATTCAACGATTTTTAAATTGTAGTCTTCATATTTTTACAAAAAGTTTTGGAGTGATAAAAAAGTACAGGTTTAATAGTACTCCCGTGAAATATTCAAAATTACTTAATACACTTAAATTACAAAAATTTTGATTTGTGCTATTTGATAGGGTCATCCCTTGTTCATTGCACACTTTTGGCAATAAAAACTAGATTGTGGGCTGCGGTAACGTTTGGGTATCATTAATTCATTAACAATGTTTACAGTACATACTGTCAATACACTTAACTTTAACGTTTTTTAATTTAAGTTAAACAACGCATTAGCATGCAGCGAATTAATTAGTAAATATAACGACTTAATTTTTAAATACTTTAGATTTTTTTGTTTTTAAATTGTAGCCTAAAATAGAAACCGCATTAAATATTACATGAAATAAAAATTTATTGTTATGCGTTAATACATATAGGTAAACATGCATATATGATGTCATTGAACGCTTCATCTTCCTAGCCTGTCTTCCTCCTTGTTTTTTATATTCGAGATTAACAATTATATAATAAAAATAAATCCATGACCAAAGAAAGAAATCCAAAAACTTCGGAGACCTCCAGTAAATCCAAAGGTAAGACCTAAAAATTAAAAAAAAGAAACATTTTAATGTATAAATATATAAAATTGTAAATATTTTTCTATTGGATTTGAGTTTTACTAGTTGGCGTTTTTTTGTATTTTTAAATTACTTTCAATTATTTTATTAGTATTACTATTTGTGTTTATGTGTATGTATTTTCAGGGTTGTAATGTAAATAATAAATGTGACCCAAGTTTTACCTAGATTTTTTTCTACGGTTTAATGTTTTGTTAGTGTTGTAAAAATTCGTTCTAGATATTTTTTAGTATAAACAAAAAAAACTTCTCGTTTAATATTAGTGTAATTTAATTTGATGATAAAACATTTAAAAATAGATGCTACTTTATGTTCCGGGCATATTGAAAATTGAGCTAAATGAAACAGATGACTATAACATTTAATATTTATTTTACAGAACTCTAAAAGATATTGTTAGAAACCGACTTAGAATCTTCATAAACGGATGGTTTTTTATTAAAAGAAACTTGTGTTTAATTTTTCTAATTTTTGAGGAGAGACAAATAACTATATTTTTCACAATCGATTTAAGTAATTATAATTTCATTTTTTTGGGGGGTCCGGTTTTTAAGACCATTTTCCTCTAATAAATTTTCTCTTTCTCTCTCTTTCTTCAGCTGCTTCCCTTCAGTTTGCTTTAGGATCTATTATTTTAATTTCTTTCTTCATACAATCTTTCCATCTAAGCTTGGTTTCCTTAGCGGTCTTTTACTTATCGGTTTATCTTCAATTCTTATCATTGCGTCCTTTTTTTCCTTGCATGTACGGCTTACATTAATCTTCCTTCGCTGCTTCCCTTGATATACACGGTTTTTGGAACATGATTTGAAATTCCTCATTAATTCTTATTCTTCATTTCTGGTTCGTGTGTCCAAATATGGCTCATAGATTCGCCTTAGATAATTTCTTTCAGATGTGTCTAATTATACTTCCTCAATTATCGTTTCCGCTAAAATTGAATAAAGTCGGTTTTTTGTTTCCGTCAAACTGACCTCCTACCTGTCTATCTACTAAAAAATTTGAGAACCATTTAGTTTTATGCATGGGTCTTCACGAACCAGTAGTGGTTTTAGCGTATGGGCAGGTTAGGCAGCTGCATGTACCACAATTTTCGACATTTATTTGTTACAAAATTCAGGTCAAAATTTACGTTCAGGTCTGTATTTAAGATTTTTGTGCGGGTTATTAATATTAATGAGCAAAATAAAGTAATTTTTTTCACATCACTATCTAATGACATTCGCCTCCAAGAATTTTTGCCCCTACCTCCCCTAAACGTCGTTTTGAATAATTACTTATTTTATAACATAGGTATACCCTTATAAAGATAATTTAAAATTTTACCAAAAGTAAATAAATCATAATAGATATCTGTCTTAAGTATGTATATTTATATATTTGTAATAAATAATAAAAAAATAGGTTATAAGAAAATAAAAAGTCATCAAAACATTGAAACAAAATTCAAATATTAATAATGAGCTTAAAGAATATCTAATACGTATAATAATATAATAAAAATTAGATCTATGATCTAAACATTCTTTGATAGTTGTTGAACACTAATTTCACAAATTCAAATCAGCTAATTTTATTTTTATTAAATTTATCAATTGTCTCTTTTGTTTTTTTTTAACGGATTTCAATTTTATTCCGTTTGCTTTTCGAGGCTGCATTATCAGAACTATATATTTTAATGTAATTGTAAGACTAAATATTTTCTTTTATATTTTTTAAAATATATTAATAGAAGGATGCGCCTTATAAAATTGTTCATTAAAATGTGAATGAAACAATTTTTTGTAGAACGCACTGCTATCTAATAACAATAATAGAATAGTAAAGAGTTTGATTAAAAGTAAATAATTAAATTGGTTTATTTTGGCAAATATTTTAACCACACGTTTTTTTTAACATGCAACTATTTAGTAGATGGTAAAACTACTAATTAAAATTGAAACTTTTTTTTTTTTTTTTTTTTTGAAAACGATAATTGGATTCAGAATTTTCTACTTTTATTTTATATTTATACCTTAACTTGAACATTTAATAAAATTTTGTAAATTATTTCGTTTGTAGTGTTTTTAATGTAATCGTATTTGTATCGTAAAGTCAATTTAATAATCTATTAACCTAAATCATTAAATCTACTAAGAATAAATAGTTAACGCCCAATGAAATAACAAGTTGTCGATATTACTTAAGAACTCATTAATTTGAGAAATAATTATAGGACAGGGAGTTACGCGTTTAAAATGTTGATTAAAAATATAAACATTTTGGCGACTAAAAAATGTATTAGGTACATTATTAAAAAATAACTTGCTGAAAAATGATATTGTCAACTTAAATGAGTTATTATTATAATATTGTTGTGTTCTTTGGTACCTAAGTTTTACTCTAAAAACAGTATCTATTATTTTAGTTACAGAATTTGTCCGATTGTAATTTAAAATATAATTTTGATTTATTTATTTATTTTATACACAATACGGGCATTAACTCAAAATAAAAATTTATGACAGATTAGTTTAACAATTAAAAAGTAAGATTATATACAGCAATATTGACGAAAATTATTAAGCTCGAATTGTCAATTAGTCATTTCAATTTTTTCCATTTATCATAATTTGACAAGTGGCTTTCTTTCAAAAAGATGTACGTCTGTTCTGGCAAAATAATTTACAATGTTACTTGACGTGTTGTGCTAAACTTAACAATCTTGGTCCCATATCAAGTTTTGTAGCGGATATAGTTTTGTAAAAAATAAATTTTTGTGACGTATTAAACAAAAAAAATTACTGTAGTCGTTTAGTTTTAATAAAAATAATGTTTTGATATAATCCTATAAAAATTGTGCTTTTGCTACATATTCTTAAATTTTTAATAAAAAATTATTATTTATTAATTATCTGAGCTGTATTGTTATCATTGATATCACAATCTATTACCATGTAAGTATTAAATATTACTCTAGTAAAACGTCAAAGATATAATTAAATTATTAATTGTCATTTAACTGAAAATTTAGCTATTGCAAAATTACTAATTAACAAAATAAGCTCATTAATTACTAGGTATTGTATTATGGTATTACGAATGTATGCATATCATTATTAGTTTTAACAATATTTAAAAACCATTATTTTCATCAAGCAGAAATGAACATGTTTACGTTTTCTATTCAACATTTTTTAATGTTTTAGAAATTTATTATTTATTTGAATTTTGGGAAAAAAGTACTTCTATATGCACCTGCCTTTAGTCTTAAACTTGACATTTATTAAAATAAATTTTATAATGAATCAAATAGAAATATGTACTTGTAATCTTTTTTTTTCATAAAATGAATTTAAACTAACTTATTAAATTAACATTTTAAAAGGTATTTATATTTAGTAAATTACTATGTTATAAAGTAAAGTTTTAAAACAAAAAAAAACTATTGACAACATTAAGGAAAATTTGATATGATCATTAGATCATTTATTAAATTATAAAAAAATTATTTTTACAATATTATAATATTTTCATTGTGGAATAATTATTTTTTGTTTACTTATAAAAATTCTATTATTATTTAAAGTTGTTTGTCTTAATTCTCAAATCAAAAAAGATTTTTACAATTTAACTTGGTTAAAGGATAATTTTTTAAGTACTTTTATAACAAATGTTTGATATGGTATATTCATCTTTCTTTTGAAAAACTTAAGTAATTTCTACCGAAATTTTGACAGTAATTATACTATTAAAAAACATTTATTTCTTAGCGTGTGTTAGTAGGAGATTACTTTAGGATATAATACTCATAATTTAAAATCGTATTAATTAAAATATTTTATAGTCAATATATCGTAACAACCAAACAATATGTAATTTTTATATTTAAATAAATACAATTTGTTAATTCCATAAAATTTTTTTATTTATAAAATGCCTTATTTATGTGTTTATGTATTTTTAAGAGTTTTTTTACATACATAGAGTTAGTAAAAATATTTTACTATAGAAGTTACGATAACTTGTATTTTTTCATAATAATCTCAGAAAAACAAGGTAAACTTTGTATTATTTCAATGAAATAAAATGATAAAATTTATGTATTTTAACTTAAACCTACCGAATTTAAACTATACATAAAGTATTTTTTACAATAAGCGATTATATTCAAGCTTACTTCGTATATAATTTAAGTTATGTATTACACACCAATATGTTAAACATACTTGTTATTAATTGTTTAAGATCAAAATGCATTCGAGGATGAAAGCGGCTTGGATGCCGTAGACTGTTTGGGTGCTAGAGATAGCCGGTTAATTAATATCAATGGCCTTCAGCGGTACAAAAGCTGCTCTAATTGTATATCCACAGCTAAATACAATTTTATATCATTCCTGCCAATATTTTTATTCGAACAGTTTCGACGATACTCGAACTGTTTTTTTCTACTTATTGCTTTATTACAGGTAAGCTTTTTAAAGACTTTACCATTAATTTTATATAAATTATCTTATTTTAAGAATTAAATAAAAAACGTTTATAAAGAATCTGTATATTACTGTTAAGTTAATAAAATCAGTGAAGCAATTTTGCAAAATGATTTTCTCATCAAAAAAATGTGCGAACAAAATAATAATTTAAAATAATTATCTGTGTCTGAATGTATTTAGTATGGTAGAAATTAGATTAAAAATATAGGACTGTAAACAAGCGTGTTTTTCGTTGTTAAAAATAATAGTTATAGTGTTTTGGGACAATAGAAAGTTAGTGAATATGGTATATTTATTTTTATTCCATGTCTTTGAGTAGTAATTTTTATTTGTATTTTACTTTTTAAAAGACATTATAATTTTGTGTAATTTTAAACCTATGAACATTTTTAAATAATTAAAATTAATAATTGGAGCTAAAATGGATTTTTGAAATTTAAAAAGGAAAAGAGAGTTGAATGGCGAGTTTGAATAAGCGGAAGCAATAAATTTGAGTTTTTAAGTGTATCATATTTGTTTGATAGTTTAATATTGATATTAATGTGTTTGATAGAGTTGAATATTTAAACGAGACAATGCGAAAACACCCTAAGGGTGTGCCCAAAACACTTAGGCTGGTGATTAGATTGTATAAGAAAGGGACTAAAAAACATGACACGTGGACGAATTTTAAATCGTAAAACTCTTAGATAATAAATAACCTTATTGTTAAGGCTGCATTGTTACCGTTAAAGGTTAATAGCTGCTCGTGACCTTTGTGTATCAATTGGGGTAAATGTTGTGTTAGTATATCACAATATGTATGTATGTGTAAAAAAGTAGAATTTATATTTATGACATTACTGTTATAGAAATATTATACATAAATTACATAAAAATGAATAAATAATTAACCTTTGCATGAAGATTATTTTTTATTGACAGAGTACAATGTTATATGTTATATGTATCTAGATAAAAGAGGCTCAAAAATGTCAACCATGTTAAGGTGTAAGGTGTACGAGTTTATAATAAAAAAAATTCATTAACACTATCTTCGTTTATTTTATTTTTTATAGTTAAAAATATACTTTTAAAATATTTATTACATTATATATTTTTTTAATAAATATAATAGTTTATTTAATATTTTTACTATTACAGCAAATTCCTGAAGTATCACCTACTGGTCGGTTTACTACATTAGTTCCATTATGTTTTATACTATTAGTTTCAGCAGTTAAAGAAATTATAGAAGACTTCGTGAGTAAAAATGTTAAGAAATACTCTATATTTTGATATTTTTTAATTGTTATATTTTTGTAGAAAAGACATAGAGCTGACCGAGAAGTTAATCATAGGATAGTTGAAGTGTTAAGTAATGGTTCTTGGTTACCAAAACGATGGGACCAAATAAATGTAGGAGACATTGTAAAGGTTAAAAATAATACATTCTTCCCTGCTGATCTTTTAATAATTTCTTCCAGGTAGCTAAGTTCATTTTCGGAACGATATATTAGTATTTTGCTAAAAATCTTGTATTTTTATTTCAGTGAACCTCAAAGTATGTGTTATATTGAGACAATGAACCTAGATGGCGAAACTAACTTAAAAATTCGACAAGGTCTTCCAGAAACAGCAAATTATACTGATCCCAAAGATCTCATTCATTTAAAAGGCACTATTGATTGTGAACTTCCTAATAGATTGATTTATGACTTTGTTGGAAGTTTGAAATTGACTGACCGTGTGTGAGTACTTTTGTCTGATTATCTATCAGTTTATAGGTCCTCAAGTTTCTTGAGTACCTATATATTTTATACATTTTTTTAGACCACTGCCTTTGGGACCTAATAATCTGTTACTACGTGGTGCTATGTTACGAAATACACCATGGGTTTGCAGTATTGTTATATATACTGGTCATGAGAGCAAATTAATGATGAACCAAACATCAGCTCCTTTAAAAAGGTCAACTGTTGACAAAATTGTTAATACACAAATAATAATGTTATTCTTAGTACTGTGTTCACTATGTTTGCTCAGCGCATTTTGTAATATTATTTGGACTAAGTACAAAGGTTCAAAAGATTGGTATCTGCAAATTGATGGTTAGTAGTAAATTTTACTTTAAATATTTTTTATGATTGTATCATTATACGTAAATTGCATAATTAATATTTAATTAATTTTTATTCAGATATTGCAACTTATAAATTTGCATTCAATCTACTCACCTTTTTTATTCTTTTCAACAATTTAATACCTATATCGCTTCAAGTTACTGTTGAAGTTGTACGATTTATGCAAGCAAGTGTTTAATTTTTTAAAATATTTAATATTAAAAATATTGAAAATTATTATTTTATTAGGCAGCATTTATAAATAATGATATAGAAATGTATCATGAAGAAAGTAACACGCCTGCAATGGCAAGAACATCAAATTTAAATGAAGAACTTGGAATGGTGAAGTATATATTTTCTGATAAGACTGGTACATTAACTAGAAATGTAATGGAATTCAAACATTGTTCGATTGCTGGAATTCTTTATTTAGAAGGAGAAAAAGAAATACTATTAGATGTATGAAGTTAATTTATTTAATTTAATAATAATATATACATTCATCTTTTTATAAAAATGTAATAATTTTTTTTCTTTTAAATTAGAATTTGAAAAAACATTATTCTAAAAATCACATTACAGAATTTTTAAATATGATGGCTGTTTGTCATACAGTAATCCCCGAAAAGAAGAATTCAAGTGAAATACTGTATCATGCTTCATCTCCTGGTAATAATTATTTCAAACATTTTTTGAGACATACATTTATATAAGTTTTTAATTTATATTTTTAGATGAACAAGCACTATTAAAGGGGTGTAGGTCTCTAGGCTATACTTTCCATACAAGAACACCTAAATCAGTTTTAATTTCTGCTTTAAATATTGAAAAAGAATATAAAATATTAAATGTAATTGAATTTTCCAGTGCAAGAAAAAGAATGTCTGTTATAGTACGGTGTCCATCCAATAAAATTCTCTTATATTGCAAAGTAATAAAAAATTAAATTTTTATTTTTCATAATCTGTTGTTTCTATATGAATAATTGTTTGATTTTTATTTAAAACTTCATATCTGCTGATTTTAGGGAGCTGATTCTGTCATTTTCGAACGTCTCTCTGAAGAAGGTGAAAAATATAAAAAAGATACATTAGCACATCTTAATGAGTTTGCAAACTCCGGTTTTCGTACTTTGTGTTTTGCTTACACTGAAATATCAGAAAGTTTTTACGCTACATGGAATGAAGAATTTATAAAAGCATCTAATGTGGTTAATGGTCGGGATGATGCTATTGATAAAGTTGCACAAAGTATTGAAACTAACCTTACACTTCTTGGAGCTACAGCTGTTGAAGATAAATTGCAAGATAAGGTATAGTTGTAATTATGAGATAATTTTTAATAAGTTAGTAAAATAATGTATTTAATTATAATTAGGTCCCTGAAACAATAGCATCTTTATTGAAAGCAGGAATAAATGTATGGGTTTTAACTGGAGATAAACAAGAAACAGCTATTAATATTGGTTATTCTACAAACTTAATTTCCCAAGACACTCCGTTAATTTTATTAAATGAGCCTACTTTAGATGTAAATATTTTAATCACAATTATTCAAGTACCATTAAGAAATTAATTAACTTATCTTGAAATAGGAACTTAGAGAATCATTACGACATCATTTAAATGAAGTTGCATCTAATGTTAATAAACAAGAAAATTCATTAACATTAGTCATTGATGGTCAGTCATTAAAACATGCATTGTCACATAACCTTAAAATGGATTTTTTGGAATTATGCATGAGTTGTAAATCTGTTATATGTTGCCGTGTATCACCCATGCAAAAAGCTGAGGTATAATAATAATTTTTTTAAAGATAAGTAACAGGTTTAAATAATAAATCGTCCTATTGAGTAATGAAATTTATTAAAATAGTAAATTTTTTTTATAGTTAATAAGTATAAAATATTTAAACTTTTTTGAAGGTTGTAGAATTAGTTACTAGTAATACAAAACAAGTGACACTTGCCATTGGTGATGGGGCTAATGATGTAGCAATGATACAAAAAGCTCATGTTGGTGTTGGAATATCTGGTGTAGAAGGTTTGCAAGCAGCTTGTGCATCTGATTATTCAATAGCTCAAGTATGTATTTCATTTAATTTCATTATATTAAACTGCTTTAATTTTAATTATTTAATAATGGTATGCCATTACTTCTATTCTAACTGGATCAATTTAACTAATGATAAAATTTTATTGTTGTCTATCACTAAAAATTTTCTTAGTAAGCACTCCGTTACATTATGTATATCAATTGTTTTCACTACCTAAATTACACTTAAGATTATCTATATTCCATATTACTACCACAAAAAAATTAATTTCGATTTATTTAATAACATTTACTAATAAATTGTTTATTACTTTGTAGTTCAAATTCCTATTAAAATTACTTTTGGTTCATGGCGCTTGGAACTATAATAGAATGTCAAAATTAATTTTGTACAGTTTTTATAAAAATATTTGTCTCTACATCATGGAATTGTGGTTTGCAATTTATTCAGGATGGTCTGGACAAATTATTTTTGAAAGATGGACAATAGGACTGTACAATGTAGTAAGTTATTTTCTTAAGATTTTTGATATAGAACATTCATTTTTTATTCTGTTTAATTGATATAAATATATAATTTGTAGTTATTTACTGCTGCTCCTCCATTAGTAATTGGCATATTTGATATAGTATGTACTGCCAAAACTAGAATGGAATATCCTGAAATATATTCACAGACAGCTGATACATTTGATGTTCAAACATTTTGGATGTGGGTGCTAAATGCATTAATCCACTCATTCTTGTTATTTTGGTTATGTTTGTTTTCCTTGGAAAATGAAGTAGTGTGGTCTAATGGAAAAGAAGGAGGATATTTAGTCTTAGGCACCTTCATATATACAGTAAAAAATTGATATAGATTAAGTTAAAAATATATAGCAACATAACTCTTTTCTTTTGTATTTCAGTATGTTGTGGTTGTTGTAAGTCTTAAAGCAGGTCTGCATATTAAGTCATGGTCTTACATTGTACATGCTGCTATATGGGGTTCTATTGTTGCTTGGTTTGTGTTTATAATAATATATAGGTATGTATAGACTACGTTCTTGCGTATAGGTTACTAGATAATATATTATTTTCTCTCAAATTTTGAACTGAACATGTTTTTAAATTCATTAACTTTTCATAAAACTTTTTTAACAAAAATATTGAAACAGAATTTTAACTATTCATGTAAAAAAAATGAAACATAAAATGGTGCAGTTATTAAATGACTATAAACAAATAAAATTAAAAAATAACTTTTGCCATACTTTGAAATTATTTTTTTAACTTTTGTTTGTTAGTATTATAATTATTTTTGAATATTGTAATTATTTTTTTAGTCATTTCTGGCCTATTTTCCCGGTTGGTGCTGTCTTTTATGGTATAGATACAATGGTATTTCGTTCACCAGTATTCTGGTTATTACTTATTTTTTCTACGTGTATTGTCTTAGGAATTGACTTGGCAGCAATAACGTAAGTTTTTTTTTGTTTTTTTTAATACAGTTAATCCTATTTTTTATTTAAAATTAAATTACAGGCTTAAGTTGAATTTTAGTAAAAATCTTGTTCAGACCTTAAGAGCAAATGAACTAAATAATTCAAACTTAAACAGTATTAATCAAAGACATAGGTTTGTGTAAACTATTATATATATATGTATATATTACTAAAAAAATTCTTTCATACTGTAAATAGACATTTGTATTTGCTATTAATTAATTTTCAATAAACATCTTATATTTTTATATATTATTCTAAATGGATTGTTGTGTTTGTGTACTTTATATACTATTTGATAATATCCTTCCTAGTAATCATTTTTGGGAAATGTACTGTAGTATTGGTAATAAATCGGTTGTAGGTTATAAACTATGGTCACACAACTTATTAAGTGTGCATGTTTGTTATTTGTTGATTTTAGAATAAACGAAAAGTCACGTCTTCTTACAAATGTAAAAAATGTTTTCCATTTCAAATCTCGATTACAATCGAACAATGATGTTGAAATGAACCGTAAGTCAAACGAGAAGAAGTGTGGCTTTTTATGTTTTGTATTTTTCTTTGAGACAAACAAACACACAAAGTGTTTTTTTTTTGCACCAGTTTTGCGTTAGAAGATGCAGTACATTGATCTACTTTATCAACAAATTATTGATGTATTTATTTTTAGATGGTTTTGCTTTTTCTCAAGAAGAAGGAGGTGTCGTCAGCCAATTGAACATGATTCGTGTGTACAATACTCGCTTACCAATCCCCGAAGAAGTATAAATATCTCTGATAATTACTGTTAACTTTAATTTTAATTTTCATGAAGCACCTCATCTAATTAAAGTTATTAAGTAGTTCTAATTATTTAATATTTAACATACTGCTATTGTTATTTTGTAATTGGATTTGTATAAATTATTAACATTTTATTTATATTATTCATTTATTGTACATAATTTACATTATTATATAATATTATATTTTATTATTTATTTATAACAGATCCAATTCTAGAGATGATCTAACATCTGTAGATACTCATCATATATATTTTATTATTTTTGTTGTTATTATTATTGTTTTGTTTTTATAATTACATTTGTACATCTGTGATAAGATTATTACAAATATATTTGATAATATATTTATGAAACACTTATAGTTTTAAAATATTAATAGATAAACTAATAAATTTTTTTATTTTGGTGTATTTCTAATTCAGAAATTAGATGTTTCTTAATATTTATTTGTTTTTGTGTGATTAAATGATTTATTAGTGATGTGTAATAATTATTAGTGATGTAACAAACTATTTAAAATTCAAAGAAAATTATGAAACAGACAGATATAATGTTTTATTTCTTAACGTATTCATTAAAATTTAATTTTAATTTTAATGCATGATTAATTTATAAGATATAGAATCTAAGAGGAAAACAGCTTCTTTTGTCTTTTTCTCCTTATTAACGCAATAGTTGTATTAGAAGGGTGTTATTAAAATTAAAATTAGTATAATTTTAATTTATTAAAAAAATGCATTTTAAATATTTTTCTTCAGACTACCAGATTTCCTATAGAGTTCTTGAAAATAATTACTATATTATTCATTACATTGAATATGAAAAAAAATTTGTATTTTAAATGTTGGTTCAAATTTGGAAGTAATTTTTTGTCAAATTTTTTTTAAAACTTTGATAATGTTTATAATTGCATATGCATTATTTCTTAAATCATATGTTTGAGTTTGTTGCATCACTAGTATTCTAATTTTTTTTTAGTGTTTTATTCTTTATTGTACCAAGTTTGTACTGTTTAAAGAAAAATCTCGTATAGAAATAATAAATTAAATTAAAATTCAGTATGGAAGTATTGCAAACCTAGTAATATAACTGAACCTAAACAATTACATGGTGTGTTTTGTTAAGTTTCCGAAAATTAAGTGATGTATTTAGATCATTTTAACAATAATGATAGTTTAAAAATTTCCTTTTACAATTTATACTACTTAATATATTTTTTGATTACTAATTAATAAGTTAATATTTATAATTTAACATATTGCCTTTTAATACATTATAAAGACTTAAAAACTAAAAAAAATAAATAGATGGGATTGACTAATTTTGATACTAGTAAGAAATATACTATTTATACCTAAATATCTGTTAAGTTGAATAAATAACTTGTTTATTATGTTTAATTTTGAGGCAATAATTTTTACCCATATAATGTACTATAAACAAGTTCCGATTTTGGCGGAAGAAAGTCTCATGGCCCCTGGGATTTTTCAGATTTTCTTTGTTTATACGTAAAATAAAATATAAAAATAAATTGACGCCTTTGATGTGTCTCATTCAATTTAAGACGTCGGGTTTCACAATTCCTTAATTCGGGTTTGACAATAAAGCAATTTTAAATAAATTTTGTATCAGTTTATGAATGATAAGAATAATTTGTTTATTCAACAATTTTTTGTTTATACTCTCTTAATAAAAGTATAGAAAACAATTATTAAAAGTAAAATCATATATTATTAAACTTTAATGTATTAATATAATAAATTAAGTTATGATTTTTATTATGAAAATCATAAACATACTTAAAACTTAGATATTTTAGACCAAGAACTTGTTAGGGTGTTGGACATTTGTTAAATATTCTAGTAGCTACTTATAATTTTATCATTTACCTGTAATTTGTATTATAGAATAAACTTTTTAAAAATGAGTGAAATTTTATCATTTAACCTAATGTATTTTTTAATATTAGCATAGTTTTTATAAAATTTTAAGGAATTATTTAGTTATTTTTGTATTTGAAGAATACAAATGTACATTAATTATTAATATTTTATTATACAGAATAATTGAATCATAATTTTTAGTATTATGTGTCAAGTCTGTATTTTATTTCATAGGCATTCATAGATATAATCTGCACAATAACATAGCCTCCTCCAATTGACAACAATATTCATTTTTAAAATGAAATGATGTGAAAAAAAAAAAGATTCAATTTAAAAAGAAATTTTGTTGGTGATTAGCATTGAAGTTTAGCTGAGAAGATATTAATTTTGCAATGATGTGTTTATTTTTCTGTTTACTTTTTCTTAGCTCTCGCCTTTTTTTAAGGATACGTGAGAAGATCATATATTGTACGTATCAGTTGACATTACTCTATGTACTCGTTATAATACATTACTCTAAAAATTGATAACTTTTCACTCATTTCCGTGAAAGGACGAAATATTTAAAAAAATTATATATTTTGAAAACTTTTTTTACTTAAATCTGTCATAGCTTTTTTAAAAACGGATGAATCAAAATACATTTTTTTATTAAATTTATTTTGTACTCTCCTTTTATTAGTTATATATTAGTTAGTTATATATTTTTTTAAAATCTGATCTTTTACTTTTCCACAGGAAAGTAACAATTTCTATTTCATAACTAAAAAAATAATTAACTAACGAATGTCAGAATACCAGAATTAAGAAAGTTAATTTTTTTTTTACTGACATTATAACTTCTCTGTAAAAAATAAAATACTAAATTATTGAATATCAATTTCATACTAAATTTAGTTTCTATGATAGGTATTTATTCACCACTTAACGCGTATCCAATAATGAGATCGCACAGGTTATCTCGTTAATATATGTATAACTTATAGTTTTACAACGATAACCGAAAATAAATAGCGTAAAGAAAAAAAACAAGATCGTAGCAACACGAACAGTTCGTTGTTTAATTATATATATATATATACTCGATCGACTACCCTAGTCGTTACGGATATATTTCTTACACCAACAAAATGTATATATGTAAATATAGTACACTACACAGTTTACCTAAGGTCTCGGTTTCGAGTTATCGTCTCAGAACACCAGAAAAACCAACTTAAAAAGAAGCGACAAAAAGAAAACAACGGGTAACCAGTTAAGGTGTACGTCGAAAACGGAACAGAACGCAATATCGGTAATCCATATTCGGCGGCGGCCTTATCTCAGTGTCAAGGGCGGGGAGACGACCGATGACAACCGATTGTCATATTAATAGCTGGACGGCTGATATCGAGAGAGACACGGGTGAGCGCCAGCCTAGAGCAAAAGGCGGTGCCGTGTCACACTTAACTCTAGGTTGGACTCGTGTATGAGGAAGGAAAAAAAAGGTAGATACAAAGTAAGAATAGGTACTTGGAATGTTGGAACATTAACTGGTAGTAGTAGAGAATTAGTAGCAGTTGTGATGGTGTCACGTTTTCATAATCGTGAGAATTATTTTAATAAAATACAGACAGCCCATCCGCTGCCTGAGACTGATGAATTAACAAATAATATTTATTGCCAAATCGGCAATAGTTCTAATTATTATAAAAACCCAATAGACCTGACCATCGTGGTCAGTCGACTCCAGTGCCTTGTGTCATTCATCAGTCTCAGTACTCGGTTGTCGCTGTCCGGCTTACTGTTTAAAGTAAAGTCTTTGTTTATTCCTTTTCAAACCTATATACTCTTTTCCTCCACATTTCAGAGTACTTGTGTCTTGCACTTCGTCTACACCTCGTACTTTATTATCCTCTCCTGATAACTAAAGTACTTGTGTCTTGCACTTCGTCTGCACCTCGTACTCTGTTATTTCTCCTCACCTGGTACGCCTAGTATTTGTGTCTTGCACTTCGTCTGCACCTTATACTCGGCTACCCCTTTCTCTCTCTGACTGCTGTACGACAACACGCACGTGAATACCTCGACAGCAGGAACCACATCCTCATCTTCATCTTCGTGCACATAACCTTTTACATATAACCATTTTTTTTCATTTTATTGTTTTACGACACAGTATTGAAGAGGAGAAAAGTTAACATTTGTTGTGTGCAGGAAACTAAGTGGAAAGGAGAGAAATTAAGGGAAATAGGTGAGGGTTATAAAATAATATACTCAGGGAAGTAAGGTACAAAAAATGGTGTAGGGATAATAATGGTCGAGGAAATGAAAAATAAAGTAGTAGAAGTAGCGAGGAAAAGTGACAGGATTATAGTCGGGAAATTGATATTTGAGAAAAAAGTGCAGAATGTAATAAGTGTCTATGCACCACAAGTAGGATGTGTTGAAATAGACAAAGAAGTGTTTTGGTGATAGATGAATGAGGTGATGCAAGGAATACATGGCAATGAGGACGCGGTGATAGGTGGAGATATGAATGAACATGTAGGTAATGAGAGTAGAGGATATGAAAGAGTACACGGAGGGTATGGTTTTAGTGGAAAGAATGAGGCTGGAGAAAGAATCCTGAATTTCGCAGTATCGTATGATCTTGCTGTGGTTAATACTTATTTTAGAAAGAGGTAAGAACATTATACTATCTATAAGAGTGGGAGGAATAGATCACAGGTTGATTATTTTATATGGAAGAGAGAGAGCGTAAGGCGAGTAAAGGATTGTAAAGTTATACCAGGCAAGAGTGTAACTACACAGCATAGACTGATAGTAATGGAGTTTTGGTGTACCGGGAAAAGAATATACAAAAATAGAAGGAACACGGGAGAAAAATCGGAAATCCGTTGGTGGAAATTGAAAGGGGAAAATGAAAAAGAGTTTGTAAAAGAGAGGTAAGTGTGGAATAGATTTGCTAGTTGTGTTAAGAATATTACAAAGGAGATTGTTGGTGAGAGTAGAAGTAGAATGCCAGGAAATAAGGAAACCTGGTAGTGGGATGAAGTCGTTCAAAAAATCATTGAAAGTAAAATAAAGCAATTCAAAGTATGGCAGAAGAGCAAAAGGAGATAAGATTGGATGGAGTATAAACGCTTGTGCAAAGCCAAGTGTGCAGTAAGTAAGGCGAAGTTAAAGAGGTATGATAAGTTGTATGATAAGCTAGAAACAAAGAAATGTAAGAAAGAAATCTATAGACTTGCAAAAGTAAGAGAAAAAAGGACTAAAGATTATCATTATTAATGCGTAATCCAACAGGTAATGATGAACACCACACAATATGTTACGTTTCTAAGTTCCATTTTCAAATAAAAATATATCTATATTTATATGTATATATACATATATATATATATATTTCTTATATTCTTAATGGTTATGAGTAACGTGCCGCACAAGAAAAACCGTAATTAAAAGTAACAGCTCTATAAAATATTGTTCCGCACAAAACCGTAATTAAAAGTCACAGCTCTATATAATGATTCAACAAAATCAGCGTTAAACTCTATAAAAATACAACTCGTGTACAGCGAAAAACCAGTTCAGGTCAGCGTCGGAAAACGAACAGAACGCAATATCCGTAATCCATATTCGGCGGCGGCCTTATCTCAGTGTCAAGGGCGGGGAGACAACCGATTGTCATATTAATAGCTAGACGGCTGATATCGAGAGGGACACGGGCGAGCGCCAGCCTAGAGCAAAAGGCGGTGCCGTGTCATTATATAAGGTGTATAAAAAGTGTTGATAATAAGGTACTCTCGAGTGATGATGTGAAAAAAAGGTGGAAAGAGTATTTTGAAAAATTGCGGAATGAGGAGTATCCAAAAAAGATGTTAGAGGATATCTTGTGGAATGAGGTACTGGTAGATTTAATTAGTGAGAAAAAGGTATCGGTGGCTGTGGCATCAATGAAAAACAATAAAGCAGTGGGACCAGATAAAGTGCCAGTAGAAGTATGGATAATATTAGGCGGTGTTGGCATAAGGTAGTTGAAGGAACTTTTAAATAAAATCTTATTGGAAGGGAAAATACCAAATGAATGTAGGAATAGTATTGTAGTGCCGATATTTAAAGGTAAAGGAGACATACAGGAGTGTGGAAACTATAGAGGCATAAAGCTTATGAGTCATAGTATGAAAATTTGGGAAAAAGTAATAGATAAGAAAATAAGGAATGAGACATCGGTATCTAAAAACCAGTTTGGATTTATGCCTGGTAAGTCAACAATGGAACCAGTATTTTGTGTGAGGCAACTAATAGAAAAGTTTAGGGAAAAGAAGAAAAAACTGTATATGGTATTTGTAGATTAGGAAAAAGCGTATGATAGAGTACCGAGAGAGGTTTTAAAGTTGGTATTAATGAAAAAAGGATACCCGAAAAGGTATATTATTATAATGGAAGATATGTATGATGACACTTGTACTAGGGTAAAAAGTGTGGGAGGAGTAACGGAAGGTTTTCGGGTAAGAGTTGGAGTGCATCAGGGTTCTGCTTTAAGCCCTTACTTATTTTCTATAGTGATGGATGAAATTACTAGAGAAATACAAGGAGAGGTGCCGTGGTGCATGTTGTTTGCTGACGATATAGTGTTAATAGGAGAAATATAATCAAAGGCTATAGGTGTGGAGATCAGCTCTTGAAGAAAAGGGTTTAAGAATAAGTAGAAGTAAGACAGAGTATATAGAGTATGAGTTTGATAAAGGAGAACACGAGGTAGGTGAAATAAGGAGGCCAGTGACAATTGGCGAGGACGTGATTGGAGAGGTGGAGAGTTTTAAGTATATAGGATCAGTTGTGCAAAAAAGCGGTGGTATTGACGAGGATGTAAGACACAGGATTAAGTGCGGGTGGTTGCAGTGGAGAGAAGCGTCTGGTGTCTTATGCGATAAGAGAATTCTAATGAGGTTGAAAGGTAAATTCTACTAGACTGTATTGAGACCAGCTATGATGTATGGTTCATAGTGTTGGGCAGTTGATAAGAAAGTAGAGCAGAGATTGAGGGTAGCAGAGATGAGAATGCTTAGATGGATGAGTGGAGTGAGTAGAAAAGATAGAACAAAGAATGAGCATATAAGAGGGACTATAGGTGTAGCGTCAATCGTGGATAAAATGAGAGAAAATAGATTTAGATGGTTTGGTCGTGTTATGAGAAGAGAAGAATCAGAAATCGTAAGAACAGTTGTAGAAATGAATGTTGAAAGAAGAAGAGGCGAGGAAGACCAAAAAAGAGATGGAGAGATGCTATTGAATACGATATGAGGACAGCTGATGTGAGTGTAGATGACGTGGGAGATCGTGTCAAGTGGAAGTTTAGGATAAGGGTGGCCGACCCCAAGTAGTTGGGATTAAGGCGAGGAAGAAGAAAAAGATGAAGGTATTTATTCATTTATACACTTATAAATCATAATACCAGTAATGAGAATATAATTAAGGAAATAGGAGTTGTTTTTAGAAAAATGCAATAATACTCTATAGATTTGCATCGAAGGGTTTAATAATAGTATTTATATAATGATTATATTATATTATATTTATTGAGTATAAAATTCAAAAAAAAAAATAGCAAATAAATACTAATATAATTAAAAAGAACAAGTTATTTACATCAATAAATACTTATACATAAGTGGCTGAGGAACACATTTATGGTTTGACTTCTTTTATTTAATTTAGCAATTTTTACTTGAGATGATGTTGCTGTGAGGCACACACATTCCGACATAAATGAGCAACCACAATTGGCCGAGAACAAAATCCACACAACGGGATTATTCAGAAGAACATATTTCTTCTAGACACATGTATCTGAGTAGCCCACAATTGGCTTAGAACAAAAAACCCAGCACAGGGGGTCGCGGCACAGTGGTGACGTGGCATAGTTGGATCAAGTATAATGATATCTGACAGTGATTAAAATCACTATCAAAAAAAAACGCTTCGATGCAAATCTTTAGATAGTGTTTAATTTTAAAAAATTGGTGGATTATTCCAAAAGCTTCATAAACTGCTAGTTCCTTATTAATATCCTGATTAAGATAAAGTATGTCGAATGAAAATAGTAAAATAATAAATAATAAAATAGTATTTCCCATAAAAAAATTCCGGAACATTTTCAAAATTTAAGTTAAAAAAATTAATTTTTTGTGAAAAAGTTGTCATTTTAAATCCCCCCTTTATGGGCAGGTTAAGGGTTATATGTATGAAAAAAATATACCAAATGAAAGGTAATGATATTATGCATCTATATAAAAAAGAATTATATTGATATGTTTATTTTTGAAAAAGTTATGGCACTTTTAAGTAAAAAAAATTGAAAAAATTTCGAAAATTAGCGATTTTTAAATTTGTAATTTTTTTGGAGGTTTCCCCCTTTTACGGGGAACGAGGGAATTTTTTTCAATTTTTAAGGGTAATGTCTTCGACTAGATACGATTTGTGATCTTTTGACGTATC